GTCGCGGTAACTCTAGATGGGGGCACTTGAATACTTTATATCATTGAATCGTCAGCTTCGTAAAAAAGCTGTTTTATATGCCACTAGGAAAATTGACAGGTGTCTCTCGATTAGCGGCACGTCCCATTTTTAGTTTTACACTAAAAGTGAATTAGCGATGTGCTGCTCGGTCGGTATTTTAGGATTTAGTTCGTTTCATTTTGACCGGGACATGTGTTAGATCAATCAACTTTGTTACTATTTTATATCAACTGCATCAAATGAATAGAGGTATTTTCATACCAATGTATTCGATTATTGCGATATTTGAAGCGTTAAAGTTCATTATTTAATTTTATTAGCTATAATCCCCATAATCTCACACTTTTACAACATAACTGACGCAACTTAAACACGACGCCCATCAATCTTGGCTCTTGGCGGAAAAAAGCAAAAAAAGTCAACTACAGAAAATATTTCACATTTAAAACGACAATGTATCGCTGGCCTCGTGTTCGCACATAAACAAAACATAAAATAAATAAACAAGGAGACACGTCGAGCAGAAAACAGAAGGACTGCGAGGGTTGTGATAGTGCTATCCATCACGCGGTCACATCTCTTCGATAGGGTTAGGGCACCTCCGTACCTTTATGTGTCCCTGGTGGGACATAAAGGCCCCGAACTAGGGGTCCATAGTTTTTTGACGTCTATTTGTGGTCGGTTCCTGCCCTCTAACGACTTTTGCTTGTAAACTATGCTCAAAATAGCTTTGTGCTGTGTTGTATTAAAATATCAGAGATTTTGAAAGGAGGAGCATCAGATGGGCTTTAAAATTAATTGAAATGGGGCCACGACAGATGTGACTGCAGATATTAAATATACTTAGTGTAAATAAAGATTTGATATTCTTGTTTCGTATTGTTTGGAGCGAGGAACAGCTGAGAATGCTATTGAAACTCGACGATGTATTGTTTATTTCATACAATATGTGTCTAAAGTAATTTGATGGCAATAGAGTCGACTTTTGTATGTCTACATACAACACACAGCCTTCAGGGAATTGAAACACATGAGTTACTTCTTTTTACGCGAAAAACACACCAAAACAATTGTCAAACTCATTTCGCGAGCTACTTTACATAACCTAAATGTACCACAAAAAAAACTTATTCGCGCTCTTTTTGACGCGCGGAAGCGGAGCGTGCATAATTTAAAGCTCAATCCGTGGATGTCACGTCGTTCTGCCGAAAAATTTAATCCATCACATGTTTCACATTCACTCTTTGCCGCGAAACCGTCTGTTCGGTAACTGAGGAACGTGTGGAATGAGATCGACTATTCGAATCGTGTTCTCCATGTTAAACCACGAAAAAGTAACGAAAACTTCCTTTATAAATCGAGAGAAAAGTTTACACGCAACTATCGAATAAGTTCGAATAAATCGGCTAAAACAATCAGACCGTCAACATCTCTAAATGACAATACTCTATCAATAAACAATATAGTAAAAGATGTCAAACTTTTTACTCCGAAGTATTGGTGAACCTCAACATCCCCTCAAGATAAGCTAAAGTTCCTCCGAGACGAGCGGTATGATTTTTATTTTTACGACATTTCCGAAAATCACCGGGGCCCGTGAATATATTATTATTGTTATGGCAACATTGGAGTCTGGGAAAATTGTAAAATACGCCACACACTTTTCCCTCGCACAAGAATTATGCTTGCAGACGCATATCATTAGGGAATTTCGGTTTTCTGAATCCGCAGTCGACTGAATATTTTAGCGCGGTGTTTTTCAAGTTTTTCGTGTTGAATTTTCGTATTTGTTCCTGTTCAGTTTGTAATAACTTTTGCCTTTACACAAATTAACATTGCACCATGAAATAGTACTGGAATAATGTTATAAGAGAGTAATTAATTCAAAGTTTATTTTTAAAAGGCTGGCAAAATACTTGTGACTAGGTACTCTGGTCTTGCAGGCGTTCATGGACAACGCCGATCGCTTACCATCAAGTGATCTGCATGCTCATTTACTTTTTATGTTTTACGTTTAAACAAACAAACATCGTGTCCTAATCTTAACTTAACACTTCAACAAAATAACTATAAAATTCTGTTTGTAGAAACCTTATCCGAAAAACCAAACCATTTCGATTAACCAACCGAAAATCAAGACATAATTCAAATTAAATTCGACAAAAGTCGTTTCTCGAGCTCCGAAGTCCCTCAACGCGTATTTACATATTCTCATTCGCTCACCCCATAGATTTAGGTGCCAACAAATGGATTGTTTCTCCTCCACATAGCGAAACAAAATTTATAGTAGCAGAGCGGATTTTTCGCCTCCAGCCCTTTTTTCGACACACTGACAGGGCTGGCGATACGATCTTATTGCGAAAATATTATTATACACTTCTTTTTAGTTTTTGTCTTATTTTGTCCTGGATACAATATGATCTGACATGCAAGGGTTCAATTATTAAGCTTAAAAATCAATTAGAATTGATTCTTTATAAAAATACCTCTTCAAAGTGAAAGAAACAGAAGAAGATTCCAGTGTATAGGTACTTGATTACTTAAATCTACAGATTTTTCATTTGGATAGTAACTATTGCAAAAAATAATGGTCGGTAAAAAGTAAGTAAGGGTTTAGAAAAACCCTAAAGGAGCGTCCCTAACGCCTTTTTCTTTCGATTTTCGATATATCGACGACTTATGACGGGTATAATCGCAATTTTAATGTTCGCACGTGATTTACAACGACCGACAGCGGACGAGGAGAGAACGGGATTGCTTTCGCGAAATTTGATATCTCTATGCTGTTTATGAGACCCTGGTGCATGCGTTTGGAAAACAATATGGGAATGATTGAAGTTTTTCTTATTTCGTTTTATTTTTGATTGACTCTTCAGTATAAAAGAATAACTAAGAATGCTTTAAACAGAAGTTAAAATGAGTCAGAGAGAATTTATCATTAATGTGTCCTTATAAAAATATTTGTATGTAACTTACTAAAAACTAACCCCTGTTTGGCCAGCAATAACTTGCGACTTTAGCTATCTTTTCTTGTACTTCCCAAAGATCTAAATAATTCATAAGAATCAAAGTAAAAACATTCCTTATTCTTTAATGTTTTCGATTGAAAATCAATTACTTTCTTCTTTCTTGTGTTCCGACAGTTGAGCAAAAAGTCCCGACTGTTATAACATTGAATCTTTGACGATCCCGTTATCCGAGGACCTCTGCTTATCATATTTCGGTTTTTGTACCCACCTTAATGGTTCCCATAAATTTTTGATATCCACTTTTTGTAATGGAACCGAAAAAGCGATTCGATTGTACTCTTTTTCTTAAGATTTTAGCAAAAATCAAAAACGAGTAAAACTTCAACTTTCTCCTCTAGGTATGTCAAAAGTAAAATAACAATATCGACAACAAAAACGTTATCACATTCCGATTGCATCAATTCACCGCAGCAAATAGTTTCTCACAATTACGATTCCAACTTTCATCGAACACCAATCAACAAAATCAATTCGGACGGAAACAAAATTAATTTTCATCTTGTAATATGTGCGTCGAAATTATTCGAAATATCGATTAATCGGCCGCCATCTTCCATATAAACAAACTGATGAACAAACAAACATACGAGAACACAAACCTAACATCCTGGCTGTATGCATTAGGAATGCATTAGTGCAATTCGACAATAGCCAAACACCCGTTATTGGAATAATAAACTTAGGTGCGCAGGAGTTTGTAGACCTACCACGCGTTTTAAGGGTGGTATACACTGAACGACTTGTATTTTAAATTTAGAAAAAGTCACTATAATCGCTGTCAATTTTGATTGTATGTTATTCGATGCCTATTAATCTATTTAGATCTTTATATTGATATTTGAAATTGAGTTTTTTATCTTATTTTGGTAGCAGACTGTGTGCCCTGGTAAAATCCAAAAAGTAACAAAGATTATGTAAATAGTAAAATATTAAAAATCACAAAAATAAACCTCTATTCACAAATTTAAAATCATACTAACTAATGTATGGTAAGTTACGACAGTCTTTGGAAATAACATCAAACTGATACAAACGCCAATTTTAATTCATATTTTTTACATTCTGAGTGAATCACAGACTTTATGAGCAAAGGTAAACAAATTAACATCTTAGTCGAAGTGATGCGACGTAGCCAATCAGTATCAAAGACGATGTATTTAGGGAATGCGTTCGCGCACGTTGTGCCACCATCTTAACTTGCGCATGCGGCTCCAGACAGTTAGTTTACTTTAACTGATGCGTTCTTACAACACTTGTTAAAAATTTAACGTAAATATTTTATTTATGATAGGCCGCTGCTAATTGTTGATATTAATATTATCAACTTAGGAATATGAGTATTTTTCTTTTGTAAGACACATATTTCTGACTAAATTATGGTACAACCAGGGACTCGAACCGACAATAACTTAATAATTTACACACATACCTCACAGATGTACTAAGGTGGGATAAAACGTAGGAGGTCTCGCGGGGCGCGAAGCTCTCTAGTTGCACGCCAAAAACCAATAACATTAGGACGGTACGTGTTGCGTGTTTCTGTCGCCCTGGTAGCTTTCTGTATGAACGTTGTACTAGGATGAATAAATGATGTCATTTTCCTCTGTTTATCGGCAAGGGAAAGATAAAAATTACACTTCTTACTTGAAAAGAAAATATGTTTAAAAAGATCTTGTTACTTTTATGTTAAAACCTATCAAACCAAAGTCTTCATTGCAAAATACCTCGAGCAAACAAAGCCAGCATTAAAACCAATTCATTTATCCTTTAGAAATCTTTTAAAAATAACGTTAAAGTGTCCTAAAATCGAATTGTTCACACAATCGGCAGAGGAAACGGTGGGGCCAATTTAATTAGAATCAATTTAGATTTGTTCGACAATAATTGGATGTTCACAAATTCCATTGGAGGTCGACTCGTTTCGTTTAAAATGTGTTTTCTTTGTTCCAGCACCCGTACCCTTCGGAAGACCAAAAGAAACAATTAGCACAAGATACAGGGTTAACGATACTACAAGTTAATAATTGGTAAGTTTTAGATCATAGTTTATTTTGTTTACTACTTAATCGATCATATTTTTGACAATGGTGACATGTAGAAACGGATAAACGAATCAAAACTGTTTGTAGCATGATTACAGTTATAGGAAACACTAACTTAGCGCCTTAAAAATATCAAAAAAGTTATAATAAAATTACAATTACAATAATAACGCAGAATTCCGTCTACTTTCTCAAATCAAAATCAAAACACATCTGGAGAATGTAACAAACGAAACAAGCACAGAATTACGAAACAAAACAACAAATTCGCACTCATCTATCGTAAAATAATCATTAAAAAGTGCCTCCTCCACAAAACAATATCTTCGCATGGATAAGTTGTCTCATAAAATGACCAATTGAAACCAGACTGCTATTAGATTGGCTACATATACTATAGCCAGGGTTTTATTATTGGCCAAGGAACCATGTAGCGTTGGCACAGAACTCCCACATAAACTACACGAGAATTTAATGTTTAGTCTGACTGTACATTCTTAGAAATGTGGTGGAGTTTGAAAATCAGAAACGGCCTGATTTTCCTGTTCTGGTAGGAGAAGACTGTAACGGCTATCAATCAGAACAAATGACTGACAATAGTTTCTGGTTCCAATACCATATAATCGATTTTGACCATATAACAATCGATTCAAAACTGTCTTACTCGAGAATCTCAATACTTAATGCAGGTCAAAATCTTTCTTATATTTATTTGATCGGCCGACGTTTGACCACTATCTCGTCTGGTGGTAACCAATGATGCGGCCTACGATGGAGCGCGTCGTCCCATAAGCAACACATTCACTATTTCTAACCTATTTAAATAACTAAATCTGAACACATAGATGCCAGATGAGCTTCTTGCTCTGCCACTTAAAAACTTACCATTAGAAACCAACCTATACTCCTGATAGATGTTACGGAGAACCTAACGGGTAACCGGGGCTCCGGCTCGACGTGCAGGAGAAGGAACGGGGTGGTTTTTAGTAAGTAAGAGTCTGACACTCCCTCCCGCCTCACCCAGGCGGGAGCAGACATTCGATGATTTTCCCCGATTAAAAAAAATACTCCTGCTAGATGAAAAAAATAATACATAAGCTACGTATCTTACACGAACAAAACCACGGTTAGAGCTAGCGCAAGAAATTACTTCTGCAATCTTTACAATCAAAAATGCAAACAAAATTGCAAGAAGTGACTGGGATATGTTTATGCTTCCCACAGCGCATTATTAAATCCATTTTATACTAGGGCCAGATACACTGTCGTAAAATACTGTATTTTAGATCATTTGTGCTTAAAATAATCAAGAAACTTCACCAATGTAAGTTGGACTTCACTGAAATAGGATTTGTTGGTGTGTGAGAGAATTCCGGTTGAAATAGTGTGAGGAAGAGAGATCTTTTAAAATTGGTTGTGGAGTGCGTTGGTTGTGAGATTGTAGCGGGAGATTGGAAGTTCCGTAATTTTAAAGAAAGGTTTGTAAAATAATTGAAATGTATAGATTTTAATATGCTTATCAAATAAGTCATCTTTGTACTTAAACTTTTTTTAAATTTGTTGGCCTGACGTTTGACAATTATCTCGCCTGCTGGTAAGCGATGATGCGGTCTACGGTGGAGCACACCGTTCCATAAGCAATGTATTTACTCGGGCCTTGAAGACACCCAGGTTATATCCTTCAGAAACCAATTCATAAGCATGCAGATGGAGCCAGAATTGAAACAGATTGTAATTGAAAAACAGTGAAAAATACATCAGCATAGGCTTTAAAACAAATTTTCTTTCCTTTAGCATCAAACACCTCTCAAGAAAAAAATCATCTGCTAAACACTCAATAGCTCACGTTCTCCCAATCAGAGTAGAGAGAATCAATTTTGTTAGTCATAAAAGATTTCCCATGTCAATGGGTACTTGTTTAATTTACTTTCCATTCCATCTCGTAGCGATGACTAGTCATTTTCCAATGATTGGAGCTCAGCTTATTGCTAATGGATGATTTCTATTTAATACTCCTTCGTAGACGGAACTTCACTTGAAGAGGACCATGGCTTTATTGATAGCGATTTTAAAACAGCGATTCATTCCTTCAATAATGTATGTTTTGCTAGTGTTTCGGCTTGAAAATATGAAGTGTCTTGTTCTGAGTAGATAGGACCTTCTATATTCTTGTGATAATGTCTGTAAATATGCATTTAAGACAGTATTTTTTTCGAAAAATGTTTACATATTGGTCATCTCTCTTCTTGTCTCTCTTCTTTCCCAAAAGAATGAGTTTCTCTAAGAGTATATATATCCTATACTTAATGACCTAAGCTAAAAATATTACTAAGTTAATCACCATACTTATTTTATTAAACTAATTTCAATTTCAACATTCAATCTTTCATTTTCATGCTTACTATCTACTATTAAGAATTTACTTAATCGCTAATCGCTATCTATATGGACGCGTACCACAACTAAAATTCCAACAATAACATTTTAATACTGATTAGTATTCAAATGGAATAACGTAAATCTATTGTAATGAGTCGCCCGACGCCTGGAGGCGCGCTTGTGTTGAGCATAGTGCATTCTTGTATCAACCGAGCGGACGAAAGCGGTGGATATGGCAACTTAAACATTTAGAAAGGAAAATTTTCAAGTTTATATATTTAGTTTTTAATAAATGTTGCGTTTCTTTGCTGATTCCGAATAGATAAAACGATACGTTCATTCTTTGCTCATTTTTTTATTCCAAGTACAAAATTCAGAGCCAAACTATTCTCACCAATTGAATTCTTTCAGTTTCCTAATCCCAAAATTAAAATGACTAATATCAAAAGACAGGCATCACGTTTTTTCGCACACTTACACACCTCCACAAGTTTTTGATTATTATAATACCTCATCCAACGTGTAATTAACTCCTAACCTCCTGGTACACGAAGACGCACGCTGACTGACGAGGTCACAGGTCGACTTTGAAGCGCCTTTGTCTATCATTGTGCCTATCCCGTTATGCGTTCCTGGTACCGCTACACAATTAAGCTATGTAATTATGGGGTTTATTACTCTGTCAAATAATGAGTGTTACCTCTTATTGAGTTATGACATCCTGGTATGTGACGAGATTTATGTATGAAGGTTCATGTGATCGTAAAAGTCGGTAAATTGCTTTCACTATACTTGATATTCTTCCTGTTTGAATAAGCCGCGTTTTGGTGTTTAGTACACCGCTCAGCTCACACAACACAAACGTCTTCAACACAGTCCTGCAAAAAAACATTCCCGTTATATAAACTCCATAAAATTAATTACCGAATCCCTTAACCTCATAAATACAATCATAAGTGTAAATAAGGTTGTAAACCGTTTATAAAGTTTAAGCCCCAATTACACTAATCGTTAGTAAAAAAGTGTAAACACAGTCAGTGTAAACGAGAGTCATTTTTGGCAGTAAACCCATTAGGAAGGGTTCTCGAAAGCGAGCTGTGTGAACAGGTGTGGAGGCGACTTTATAGCCCATGTAGGGGGCACATGCAGCAGATATATTTACTATTACTATTTGTACTTACTTACTGGTCGCATGACAAAAGATTTTGGTAAAGAAAGGTAGAAAGTTTTGTGTTACTCTTAAAATATCATCCTATTTCTCTTAATTTCTACCATTCACATAAATTCTGCATAACAAACTATATTTTCCATTTTCAATAGCTTCAAATACGAAAGGTAAAAAACAAAATTTTTCATGACTCGCTACATTTCATTTTACATAGGTACCGTTCACCGTGACATGCAAAAAGTGACTTCAAAACGATGACACGTCACAATTTCCTCTGTGTCCCACATTTCCACCGGCCCTGGTCACCCCACGGACCTCTCGAGAGCGATACTCTGTAAATATTACATTAGCTCGTTCACTTCTGCGATTTATGTCACTCTGGTACATTTGAACTATTTGGATGATTGTCCATTACTTTAATGGATAGAGAAACAATTCCCAATTCTGAAAAAATATATTGCTGTTAATTAAACCATTCGATTAAGGAGAGAAGAGGATTAAAAACTCAATGTAAGCTATCGAATGAACCACATTAAAAGTACACAAACATTTTAAGAAGCGCGAATCCGATAATGAAATGGTAAACAGAAAGGGAATCCAATCCAGACGGATGGGATTCCCTAGAGATAGGAGAGAGAGGTAAAGGAAATTTAAAATTCAAATATTCGCACGCCTTATCAATTACAAGTACCAGGATCGCAACAATAACGGACGGTGACAATTCCTCGTTCAGCCGTTCTTAGCCGAATTTGCATCTTCATACAATCGCAATTAGGGGCGCGCGCATTAATTCGGGAACTCCCAGCGGCTCGGTGGTGCCCGCCGTTTCAATTTGATGGAACTCGAATACAACCTTGTAATGCTAAGCTAATGTAATTATGGGACATTTGCATCAATGTTATGTGCGCCTGGTGGGCGAGCCGTTACTTTCAATATACTATCTGAATAAATTTTGTTGGTGTTTATCGTAATTTGCTCATTAGGGTGATAAAAGCTGGTTCCCTTATCATGCTTAAGCTTCGTTTCATGTCTGTTACTTCGCTAATGCCCGTAGATGGTGAGATGTTAGCACTACATTAATTACTGCTGTAATTTAGTCTAGATTACTTAAGTGTTCATTCATTTTTATGTTTAGTTCAAAACAACATAAGTTTAGTTTATCAATCTTCATGATGCAACTAAGGTTTTAGCGAAAAACGTGCAGCGAGTGTGAAGTTTGAGAACCCACTATATTTTGCATGTTCCTTTATCTAAGTCACACGCCTTTATTGCTCTGAGTTTTGCTTATCCTCTAAGGCAAAACTACGTGATGATACCGCATACATTTATAAAGAATTTCCTCCAGTTTGGTTCTTCCAGCTCAGTTCATGTATTATTCCTGCGCCACGCCACCGTTAGACTAGCATACTGAATTTGTTATCACATCTTAATATTTGTT